TTTTCTATATTTTAAAATCGTCTTTTGAGTATGTTCCACTATTCACAATGCTGTGAAATTTTAACAGTCTATAGCCAAGACTGTTTGAATAATAAAAAGCAAAAAAAAAAAGAAAATTCACTCTCAAGTGCCCACGAACCTGCATCTATACCTTAACTGACGATATTGATGGCTAGATGTACGAAACAAATTCGCGGGCGACCACGGTAATTATTTTAATTGTTTGCACTCACTCGAACAAAATGGATGCTAATACATGTATCAACATTGAAATTCGTCGGGAATAAACATTGTTTTGTTTTGAGTTAATCTGTGCATGGAAGGTACCTTCCATAATCTATGGAACTAAACTTGGATGTTGATTTTGTCAGATAATAGTAAGGCTTTCCTTTCAGAAAAACTGGAGTTAAACAAAATAAAAAAATCCATGTTATTTTGACCTCAACTTTTGAAAGTGTGTAGAAGTACATTCCACTAATTATTAAAATAATTTTGAAAAAAAGCAATTTTCAACAAGAATAAAACTCTCACAGGGCACAAATTGTACATTTTGACCAACACAAAACAAAGTTTAATTGAATATGTAAATGTTCAACTTTGTTCAAATCTAAGGCCATGGGTTAAGACTTTAACATATATGAAACAAGCGGTTACTACCATCACTGTGTAGCACGACATATAAAATCATCGTAAAAACTATACACCCCAAACATTTTTGTTCAATCTACATGTCACACACAACGTAATATTACCGTAATTGGTATAGTACAGGTGTGATGGTTCAAATACCAAAATGGCAACAGTAACAGAAAGACTTCCCTGGCGGCGATGATAAAATACGAACACGGAGCCAACAGATGAGGTTTCAACTGGTACTGGTATTATTATACTCTGCAAACATCAAGTACAACAACGCGGTAAAACTCCACTACTCCAATAACTAGATACTTAAACTCCAATACAATTCAACGAGATCTCCGATCTGATCTCAGTGCTGAACAACTCCCCTATATATACCCCCACTGTCTATAAATAGACCATTACATCAGCATACATAATGAGTCTGGAACTTACTACAAATTTCTAGAATGTTCCATTACCTTCTATTGCCTTCTACAGTGTTCTATTACCTATTCAACCAGTTCCTAAAAATCTAGAATATTCTACCCAGACACAGTACGTTTCTAGAACATTCTCAGTGACAAGGAAGTGGTAAACATGTCGTATGCGACACTAAATTTGTATAAGGTTTCCAAATATAAAGCCACCAAGACGTAAAGTCTGTGTCAGGTAAACCAAAATACTTCTTCAATCCACCATAAGCAATTATAGTTCGAGTTAATGCATGTTACCACAAATCATTACGTAACCACAACGTCATACCTAGTAAATAAGGGATGGGATATTTTTTCTTTTAGCGCTACGTAGAGCCCATTTTTCAACCATTATCAAATTGTTTTTCTTTTAACGTTTCTTGTTTTGTTTTAATTATTTTTTTTTTCAAAATTCTTCTTATTTTGAGCAACTTTTGGCTTTAAAGAACTTTTTTTTACTTCGAGTCTTTTCTCATTGCTGTAAGATTGTTTCAGCTCATAATCATGATTTTTGCAGGATTGGATGATGTCATTCTATATTTAATGTCACACTATGCAAATTTGTGGTCCACCTAGATCATACGATCCAACCCAACGGTTATTGAAATAATAATGTCACTTGTCTACACACACAAAAGGGATACAATGTCCATTTCCTGGAACAATAATAAGTTTGCTTGTTTTTGTAGTGTCGGCAATACCAACATGGACCCAAACACCATATGATACGGTAGCTGTGAATGGTGGATCAGCTGAGATGAAATGTGCACTCAGTAATCTCGTTCCACCATCTTTACCTAAATGGTACGATACATCAGGGAGTTCACATAGACAAGTTTCATCTGGTACAGCCGTTATCACACATCAGTGTCCTACATGTATTATTACTGGAACACATTCTGATGGAGAATATCATCTAAAGATGGATCCTGTGAGTGTAACTGATGATGGCACATGGAAGTGCACTGTGGGAAATGCACATCCTCAGTCACAAGAGGCAACACTTATAATACTGGGTAAGTGTTGTGACAGCATTACTCATACTACTTTATTTCATAGTATATTATATGCTGGCGGACATATATTGGTCACGAATAACACAGTAGATGAACATACTTTAATATTATCACATTTGCTAAATGAGTTAGCTGCAAACCCATTCATAGTAAGCATATGCAACATTTACAGAGAAGCATCAATTTCTAGGGAGGCATTATGAGACGAGGCCTTAATTATTAAACGTTATCTGAATATCTCTAATAATCCAATAATTGGCTGCATTTTGTGAATGCAAACTATCTTCAGACAATCAGTTAAAATCAGTGCAGTTAAAATAGTACAATTATCTTGTAAATTTTATATTGTTTCACAGATGAATCACCAATCTGTATCACAGAGGGCGCGATTGGATCAAATTATGAAGTCATTACCGGTACTGGTGTTACATTGAAATGTGATCTAAATAAAGCAGCACCTCCTGGTGAACTAATGTGGACTGAAAATGGACAGGATACAAATCATAAAGGTGACAGACCGATGTCATGGCTTATAACAATAACCAAAGCTAAAAAGGATGATCGATACAACTGTAAATACAGTCACAGTTCAATGTCAATATATCCACAATGTAATCGTGATATTATATTTGATGTACAATGTAAGTATGTTTATTACATAGGCCCAACGTGTTGCTATTTAAAGGGTCGTTGTTCGTCGCGTCGCGTGTAAAATACATCGTTTGTTCGTGAAATTTTGCACGTTGTGCACCACACACCACACAACACTCGTTCGTTCATAATTTGATTGATTTAAAATGTAATATTTGGTGGATTAAAACTAGCTTCTCTCGCATTTTATTTTGCAGCACGAGTTTTCAAAAACAAATTTCAAGAATTCCCTTTAAATTATGTCAATTCAGAGGCCAGTGACTATGGAACTGTTCCGTTCACTGTGGATTTTTCTAGTTTCTTTGCTTTTTAATGGAAGCAAATTCATCACTGGAATAACGAATCTATAAATGAATAACAATAATATAAACTCCCAGCCAACCCAAATTACAAACAATAAAACTGTTTGCCGAACAGAGTGCTTTTCGGAAGCAGGCCCGGGGGGCAGGGGGGGGGGGCAAAAGGCCGGGGGCAACGGGCCTAAAATCGTTCTTTTCACTTGGTTAGCCGGTCATCCACTATTGTTAATGTTATAATACAATTAATATTTAAATTAGATCCACCTGAGATAACAACAAGTATTACAAGTGGTGATAATAATGGTAAAATAAAGAAATATCAAGACTTCACAACAGTGTGTTTAATTACACTTGAGTCCAATCCAACACATGACAGTATTAAATGGGAAAAGGATGGTGTTACCATAGCAAATACCAGTACACTGAGTATATATAATATCCAGATATATGACAGCGGTTTGTATACGTGTATTGCTACCAATACATACTGGGATGATACACATGGAACAAATGTAGAAATTCTAATAGTAGATGTACAGTGTAAGTAATTTTATATAGCAGTGTTACCATGGCAATATGTAGTACATTGTGTATATCCAACATTTTGAAATATGATGAGGGTTGTGGGTGGTATGCTATTAAATTATCACATCGAGCAAACAGTTTCGCATAATAAAATGCGGGCGAAGAAAACTTTCAACAATAAACGATGTTGGAATAAAAGAAACATCTTTGTCATTTAGTTGATGCCGTTGGATTTAGAATATGAATTTCCTGGTACACTAAACTCTGAATTCCATATATTGTATTACGCTATATTGTGTTATGTGCATATATATCAACATAGTTCAGAAATTACCAAAATCAAATGTGTTACTACTAGTATTCGAATTTCACTAAAACAGCTTATCTTATATACGTAATCTGCATTACATTAAGTTACGTGACTTGTATCACAAGAATCATTATGTTAGGACTTGGATGTATGTGTGTATGTGTGTACATGTCTGTGTTGGGGGATTTCTTTCATTCTTTGTCAGAAATATGATAACCATTTCGCAATACATGTATTTGACAGTGTCATTTATATTCGTTTAGATTCCCCGCAGACTGTTTCTATATCCACGAATAATGACGATGCTAACGTGATAGAAGGAAACACATTCACCGCTGTGTGTAATAGCGATGGAAATCCCACCCCTAGTTACACGTGGAAGAATTCTGACCATACGTATACATCAAATGGAACTATACTGACAATCACGAATATACGTAGAACGGAAATTGGTGAATATACCTGTACAGCGACAAACACATTCTACGATGGTACTCGTGGGAGTGGATCATCGGGTATTTATGTCAATGTGCAATGTAAGTTATCATTTACGTATAGGTCTAGTTGCTGTCAAGTCGTCACACGTTCTTATAATTTTTTGTATTGCAGATGTATACATTACTATATTTCTGCATCTTTCAGATCTAGTAGGATTTGTATCCATCAGCGATGGAAATAACGGGTACATTGTTGAAGGCAAGACTTTCGTTGCAACATGTTCAGCTAGTGGAAATCCAACTCCTAGTTATTCTTGGGAGGAACCATCAGGAGCTTTTATTAAGTCTGGAAGTATTTTGAATGTAAATCATATCAATAGAAACCAAACTGGGGAATATAAATGCAGAGCGTCGAATATATTACATGATGGTACAACGCAAAGTGAGATAGCAACCATCACCGTGGAAGTACAGTGTATGTCTTGGTTTGCTTTCTGATGGGGAAAAGTATTTCTGTACATTCTATGACATATTTTTTTTACAACCTTCTGTTTGTCATACTTAAAAGTTTCGGTTTGACTATGTAGTAGTATTGTCAAATCAATTCACATAAACAAAACGCAGATCTAAAGAAAGTCCTGTCCCACAGTTGACATGGCAATGCACGAGCCCCCAATTCTGATCGTGGCTTCACGCAAAATAAGTCTTTGGATACCTATTTTTGACATATCTTATTCTACTCCACTTGAGTGTGTGGCAAAAGTTACTGTTTTGTTTTTGAGTGAAGGCCAGTAACTAATTTGTATGATTTGATAATTGTTCTTACATTCAGATCCAGCAGAGGTTCAAACCCCAGCATTTGTGACACTAGTAGAAGGTGAAACACTGTCGATATATTGTACTGTAGATGGAAATCCAGATCCCATAGTCACATGGACTACACCCGATAACAGTGTATTTAAAGGAAGCACATATGAGAACGCATGTGTTCACAGAGCACAGAATGGAACATATATTTGTACTGCTACAAACACTTTTCATAACGGAGAACAGAAAAAAGTTGCTTCAAACACTGTCGTTATAATACAATGTAAGTATTAGAAGCACCACGTCCAAAACCGTGTTTTTTATATCTGTAAACTCGTACTTTCAAGTGTATGTTTTGGACTTGTACCACGAAAAACGATAAACTTCAAAGATTCAGCAATCAGTTGCCTTGGCCCAGTACACAGTGCTGAACGTATATTAATTGACATAAATACAAAATATATATTGTACGTATTGCTATTTGCTCATGAATAATTGAATACATAACATTGTATATAAATAGCCAGTTTATAAATAACATAAAGACAAGGGGACATGTTAATTTATAAAAATAAAACAGCGGCCAAAAAATGGATCACATGACAAAAAGTTATCTTAGTAATATATTTTATACACAATCTGCTAACTAAGCCTTGTAGACAGTAATATGCATATTCATTAGAATAATATGAACTATTGATGAAAGTTACTCGCATCTAATTATAACTGTAAATGAAATTATAGATTTACCCACACTTGTTGGCCCAAGAATGTATTCTGGAGATATCGGTGAATCAGTAACAATGACACTAATTGTAGATGCTAATCCTTTGCCTGTGACATGTGGTGATTGGGTGAATGACTTCGTAGTTTTACATACTAGAGAAGAAACACCATCAAGTTGCGAAGTTCATATCGAAGAGATTGCCGAGCAGCACTTTGGTACATATACTATATACACGAGTAATGACGCTGGAATAGTTTATCTTTATATCGAATTAGTGCCAACAGGTATGCAAGTTTATATCCGTTTTTCCTTTGCTCTCGTTCACATATGATTTTGATTAGCGGATATGTTATTCAACTTTGAATACATCTTGTAATCTGTTATATTGAAATACCATTGACCATGTGGCAGTTTGTATAAGTACAATGTTTATCATCATTGTCGTCGCAGTCTTTGTTACGGAAAGCGTAACAATGATACAAACCATTTCCAAATGTATTCGAATGGGTTTTCTCGCCCTTCTGTTACAATACACGTACGTATACATACCAAAGATAAAGATGATTATATTAATTGTGTGGGGAATAACGTCTAGTATTTGATATATTGGAAGACGGCGTTCAGATGTTGAAAAAAACAACATAAGAATGGTCACGATTAACCTAATGTGTCCATTGTTGGTAAATAATATGTGCACATAATTTTATAATGAATTATAACGCATATTAATCACACAACATGCTATACCCTTCTTGCAAGGAAATCAGTGGTGAATTTACAATTAACATTATAAAATTAATCAGTGTGTATATATAACTCTCACTTTATATTTTTTACGTTATACGCAGAATAAACTGAAATAATTATATCATTATAGACGTTCCTGAATTCCCAGTGTCTATCGCTGTTATTGGTCGATATTATGACAGTGTAGTCATTGATCTAGTGCCTGGATACCATGGAGGAGATCCCGAACATTTAAGACACTATATAGAATACCGTTCTCCGAGCGATGCGCTTTTTCTAACGTGGCCTAGAGATGGAACAGGAACACGCAATACTACAATACATATACTCGATTTACAACATTCAACTGTTTATGAATACAGAGCCCAAACCGGAAGTACAAAAGGGAGAAGCAACTTCTCTTCTCTCCAGGTAGTCAAAACATTTGGTGAGTGCGCATATACATATTATAGTTAGTGCTTATTTACTCACCACTGTATTTTGAATGGTCCAGAAATGTAGAGAGTTGATATTGTAGAAATTCTATAAACAGATGAACCAACTGTTCAGCTCAACTCGCAAACCGGTATACTAAAATGGACACGGCATGAAGACATGACATATGAATGTGTAAAAATAGAACACGTGGAATATGAAGACTGGAATACAATCGACCACTGCCTAAATATGAATAAACTAGAGTACACAGTGGATAAAAGAACAGATGATTATAGAATTACATATTGTACAATTGATGGTATTTGTGAAGTGGATAGTTTCAGAGCAACGGTCAATATTTCAGGTGTGGTAACATCACATCGTGTGAATAATTTGGGGGGAACATACATCGCGTTTCTGGTCATTTCTGTGTGGTTTTGCGACTTTACTCTCATTCATATAGATCACAGATATTCCGTACTTAATAAGGGAAACTTAGTAATTATCATTATTTAATTCTAGGGCCAACTCACAGTTTTAAAACAAGTAACAAATACATATATATATATATTATAAACACACTTGTTCATTTACTCAAACGTTCACACGATCCATCCATATACACATTGAACAAACAGAAAGATAAAATGCCACCTTGCCCGATGCCATTCAACTTTTCTCCTAGCGACCCTCCAGTTTTTCAGAATCGACGAGAATTTCTCATAATCTCAATCAATGGGCTTAAATACCACAATGTCACGTGTGTATGTGATGGGTTTGAGTGGTTCATGCGAATCACAGAAATTGTAATATATTGTAATAATTGAAATATATTGCTTTTTTGCTTCACATTCTCTCAGGTACAGGAAATAAGAGTAATGATATTGTAATTTTAGCTGGTATACTTATACCACTTTTCGTTTGTTCTGTGACTGGTAATATCATTGCATTTATGTTGTATAGACGTTTCAAACATCAAATACCAACAAAACAGGTACTACCACCAATTAATTATCTATATCGATAAAAACAAAAATATATCAAATAAACCAAAATAAAAAATGGTGAATATACTTAATTTCTGACTCCATGAACTGTTTTCTTTTATTTTTTTATCCGTTTCCTGAAGACATCAGAAATAATGCCATCAACATCATTTAATAAAGAACCAACATATGAAGTTCCAAAGCCATTATCGAATTTGGTAAGAAACAAAAACCATCATAATCTGATTTTTCTTCACCTTCTCAAAATGTAAATAGTTGCAAATGACATTGATCGGACAAATATATCTATATCTTATCGACAATGATTACTGGATGAATATACTGTTGTTAATCGTATATCCTGTTGAATTTTGCCCGTACCCAATAAGCATTGTTAAATAACTAATTAATAAGCCACATGTTTCTGATGCTCTAATATACACACTTATATTTTAGGACGCTGAAGGTGATAGCAGTTATACATCACTTTCTCCCCTGACAAGGGACGAAGTGTCGCATTATGAAAGACCAAGCACGATAAACAAAACCTCTGAATTATAAAAGATGGTTTGTCAATTTTTATTACAATGATATATAAACATAATAAACATAAAGCTCCAGATGAGTGAGGTACTTGTACCTTACGAAACAGTGCTGTCGAGTTTCAATATTCATGTAGTTGTGTATTAATTACTCTATTTCCGTATTTATTCGCTCTACATATACTTTGTATTGAGCACTTTTGTTTTGGAATATTCGACTCCCACATCCACAGTCAGCTGGCTGTCACACGCAACGTAATATTACCGTAATTGGTATAGTACAGGTGTGATGGTTCAAATACCAAAATGGCAATAGTAACAGAAAGACTTCCCTGGCGGCGATGATAAAATACGAACACGGAGCCAACAGATGAGGTTTCAACTGGTACTGGTATTATTATATTCTGCAAACATCAAGTACAATAACGCGGTAAAACTCCACTACTCCAATGACTAGATAGTAAACTCCAATACAATTCAACGAAATCTCCGATCTGAACTCAGTGCTGAACAACTCCCCTATATATACCCACACTGTCTATAAATAGATCATTACATCAGCATACATAATGAGTCTGGAACTTACGGTTCTAGAACATTCTCAGTGACACGGAAGTGGTAAATAGGTCGTATGCGACACTGGCGCACATCTGATATAATAAAATAATGCGATATTTACTATATGGGGGCCGCCATCTTGAATGACGCATAAAACT